AACTGTTAAGTGGCAGAATGGGATTGGAATCCAGGTCTGACTAAAGTGCTCTCCCCGTGTAAAGACAGGAGTGGTGCAGATTTGTGTTCGTGTAGGATTTGTTGCTGTGCGTATGGTCACTATTTAGACTAAGATCTATCATCTCTCATCCATTTGCATGAATTCTTCTAGTCAGGTAGCTAGGGTGTCCGCCTGCCCGCAGTTAGCCACTGCCCCTCAGTTCTGTCAGCGATCGCACGATGGTATTTGGTCATCTTGCACAGTAGAAAGTGGTGCAGAGGAGCAAGAAGGCAGTTTGGGGGAAATCTGACCACCATGCTTGCAGTTTCTCTTCTAATCAGTGATTAATATGCCTCTCCTGATTTAGAACTCCATCTCTGTTTCCTTATTTGCCTTTTCAGGGGGTCATTAAGAATCCACTATCTCTTGGATGTTCTGCTCTATTAGGCAGGCAGAGAGAAACTCATTTGGCATGAACTAGGCAGCAGAAAAAACCCTTGCCATGTGGGAGTAACCTGTCACAACCTGGTTTTCTCTGGCCAGATGACTGGTCTTGTCTAGTAGTAATGCCATTACAACATTCCCATTCAGATCCCCATGACCCAGTAATTGTTTTGGGAACGAGTGCAAAGCTATCAGACACCAGCTACTATAATTAGAAAAGGGAAAAACAGACACTCACCAGAGCTAACGTCTTTAGGCTGGAGCATTTACGGCACATTTTTTTTAGGTTATGGAGCCTCCTTCTCAGTTTTGCTTCCTAAAATACAAAGTCTACAGTTTTTGGGTTCTCGCATTCCAGTTTTTGTTACTGCAGTACACTCTTTCCTTTTCCCCCCTATTTTAATCGGAGTACAAATTGCTGTCAGCACATCGAGTTCATGTGCCAGCCACATTCAGAACAGGGTGTTCTGTGCTCTTCAAAACAAAATTGCTCTAGGGCAGTAAGAGAACAATAAGTCAGAGCTCCAGTTTAAGTGATGTTTTGCAGCAGACCCGGCTTACTTGATGTGGTTACACTCGGATTGCTCAGCAAAGCTCGAGTAATTTCATTTGGTTTGACTTCATGGGGTTTGGAGGACCTCCCCCTCCAAGTTCCATGGACTTTAAGTCAAGAGAAAATGTTGTTCCTTTTTGTGTCTTTTTTTTTCTCTACCGAAAAAGCCCTAAGTAGAAGCATCCTGTATGTACTTTTATTCTCTTTGGACACGTCATAGATCATTTACTTCCTGTAAATCATGCTGGTTGGAATTAGCAACAGACCTCCTGAGCCCTAGAGGCCGAGCTCCCAGTGAGTCATGATGGTTATTATTAAATATTTATTAAGTGAGTATTTGTACTAAGAGATGCAAGGTCAAAAGCAACCACAGGTCTTCCTAGCCAGAGCTGCCACAGTTTTCTTTTGTATCAGTTGTTGAGACAATTAAGAAAAAACAAAAACAAAACCCAAGCATTGGACCTGGAGGAGCCAGGCATGTTTGATCTGTCACCATGAAGGGGGCCCCTGCTGTAGCGGTCGGTGGCATTTCTGTGGCTCCAGGGTGGTGCGTGAGTTCTTGTCAGCAGTCTTGCAGAACTTGTCACACCAGTGTTCTGAGTTTAGAAATCAGTTAACAGAGAGATAGCCTTTGCTACTTGTAGATGTAAAGAATCAATGGGTTATATACTCCTTGAGCCTGTGACACCTTCTCTCACACAGACATTCCAGATTTGAAAAGGCTGTGGTTTTCTTTGTACATATGAACTGGTATGTGTGTGTGCGTGTGTGTGTGCCTGCATGTATCAGTTGAAGATTTGATGGCACTGTAGGTAGTGTTCAGGTCCAACTTAAAAGAGTTAGATTTACCCAAAAAAAAAAAAGTCCATATAAAAGGTACTAAATATGAGAATTATTGCGGATTTTTACTTTCCTATAAGATAGCCATAAAAATTGGTTCTGTCATTTATTGTCTTTTATTGTCTTGCTTTCATTATAGTTTCCTTACCTTCCTTATAATTTGAAATCTTCTTTTGCTTGCTTGCTTCACTTACCTTTCCCAACACATTTATTAGTAGCCAGTCTTTCTTTCCCCCTAATATGGGTTGTCCCACGTAAAGAGAACTTCTAAAATTATTTATATAATTTTAACATCAAGTACACGCATCAAGCTGAAAACTAGCCTAGGAAACTGACACACAGGCAGGAATCCTTTGCAGAGTCTCTGGATTTCCTGTTTTGAAAACACATTCAAACTTGATCAACCAAAAACCACAATGAATGTACTGATAGTTTCCTCCCCGACTAAATGTACTCTCCTTTAGGGAGGAAGACATTTCTAACAATAAACCTGAGACAGAAAAATCTGTCAGCTGAATTGTGATATACTAGGATAATAAGTCTCAAGACTTGAGAATATTCCTCAGTTCATGAGCTGAAACTCACTTTGCTCAGCAATTTTTTTTTGTTCATGAAAAGTATCATCGCATTAGTCTACATCAAATTTCTGAGGCAGATTTTAAAATATGTAAGAGCATAAACTTCTCAGGACTTTCCATTCCTTTAGCAACATCAGTTTTTATTTATTTAAGTAAAAATATCTTAAGCCTTAGACACCCTGCAGAACCTCTCTAGATGTATCTGAAAATAATAAAGCTGAATTTATTTTGAGACTATTTTCCAATTCAAAAGAATTTTCAATGTGCTATCAATTGATTAAGTTTTATATGATCTAGAACATTCCAAAAGTGATTGTAATAGAGAGGATCATCTACTTTTATGACTGTGGGACATGGAGCAAAATTCCTTTATATCAACTCCACCCTGAGAGCCAGTGTATTTCTTGCCCTTGTTTGGAGAGTCACACCTCTCTCTAATTTGGCCCAAGTTTCTTGGACTCCATCCTACGTCTTTGTTGGAAGCACATCAGGATGGTCTTATCTTAGTAAATCAGAAAAGGATAGAGAACTTTATTTATTTATTTTTAAGATTTTACTTATTTGACAGAGAGTGAGAGAGAAAGGCAGAGCAGCAGGCAGAGGGAGAGAGAGAAGCAGGCTCCCCGCTGAGCAGAGAGCCCGATGTGGGGCTCAATCCCAGGATCCTGGGATCATGACCTGAGCGGAAGGCAGATGCTTAACCCACTGAGCCACCCAGGCACCCCAGGATAGAGAGCTTTAAAGCATAAATGTCCATGTGACATTGTGGCACTTGATGACTATACCACTACCATTTGCTTTTCGGGGTTTCTCGAATTTTTCAGGCTCGGGCTTAAAGGTAACCTGATCAAATAATTAACTGCAGGAATTGGCTTTGAAGCTGGTTTCTGGCCTGTATCAGAGAACTGTATCACTGGGTCATAGTTTCATAGAATTGTAGAGCTTCAGAGGACCTTTGAGATCATGTAATTCAAAAGTAGAGTAAGTTGGAATTGAATTTGTGTTTGGAAATTGATTGTCTCATGAAACAAGTATAACAGAATGAGTAATTTTTAGTCTCTCTAAAGCAAGTTAAAGTTAGAGAAACTGGTGTTAGAAAAGAAGAATTTTAGGAAATTGTTACATTTGAATCTAGGCCATTACAGAGGTTAGAATAAAGAATTTTCTTAGGAAAGACCAATTATTACATTGCTTGGTGACTGCTGTGCTATTGCGTGAGCCATTCATCTTTTCTTTTCTTTTCTTTTTTTTTTTATTTATTTGACAGATCACAAGTAGGCAGAGAGGCAGGCAGAGAGAGAGAGGAGGAGGAGGCAGGCTCCCTGCTGAGCAGAGAGCCCGAATGCGGGACTCGATCCCAGGACCCTGGGATCATGACCTGAGCCGAAGGCAGAGGCTTTAACCACTGAGCCACCCAGGCGCCCCGCCATTCATCTTTTCTTACTGAGTCAAAGACCCAAGTGGAAGAGAATGAATGTCTTTCATATGAAAAGTAGTTGGAAAGATTCAGAGAGTTGCTTATCCTAGAAAAAAAAGTAATGGATCAAGAAAAAATACATATCTATATGCATTTTTCCTATTTTGTCTTGAAACAAAAGCTTTTTATCTGATAGGAAATCACCCTGGGAATGAGGTGAGTGAGTCTAAGTGGAACAGGAAATTAGGCCCCAAGAAAGTGACCTCTTAACGTTTCAGAAGAGATGGTTAAATAATTTGATTTGTGAAGTTATAGTAGACTGATGATTCCTTCCCACTTTACAGTTATTACTCCACTAAAGGCATATAGCTATGATACAGTTATTGATGATGCTGGCTTTGAGTTTTCTGTTTTTACTCAAATATATTTGTGAATGAGATTAAGACTCTTAAGAAAGAAAAAAGAGCTGCTTTATTCAGTTAACTTTTGTTTATCTTTGGGGAAATAGTCATTTAGTTTTTTTTTTTCCCCCCAAGCATCTGAAGTCAAAATGTAGTTATAAATGTTTAGGTCATTATATACTTGATACTAAGTTCATTGCACCTTGATAATTATCTATTAAATATTCTAGCATTTCTTCATCCTGTGTTATAGGTGAGGAAATTTCTGTCATGTAGTAGGTTTAAATTAAACCTGTGTTTCTGCTTTGTTTTATTATGCCCTAAGTTATCTTATTTTTTTTTTCAAGATTTATTTGTTTATTGTATAGAGATGGTGGGGTACAGAGGGAGAGGGTGAGAGGGGACTCCTCAAGCAGACTCCCCACTGCTGAGCAGGGAGCCTGACACAGTGCTCTATCCCAGGACCCTGAGAGCATGATCTGAACTGAAATCAAGAGTTGGCCACATAACCAACTGAGCCACCCAGGTGCCCTCCCCCACCCCCCTGCCCCAAGCTATCTTATTGATAGAGTTGTTGATAATTACAAGTTTAAACTTAGAAATAGGATTACTCTTAAATTTTCAGACTGGGTAGGTAAAGTGTCAACAGGACATACCCCATGTGTCTCTAGATGAAATGAGAAAGGGGAAATAATCATTTATCACTTCTCTAAATTAGCCAGACCTGTGGAGCAGCTTTATTGACTGACCTGTCTCCTCACCCTCAGTTCACCTGGAAGGCCGCTATGATGGAAGGATGTTTGATTGCAGAGATGTGGTATTCATTGTTGGGGAAGGAGAAGACCATGACATTCCAATTGGAATTGACAAAGCCCTGGAGAAAATGCAACGGGAAGAACAATGTATTTTATATCTTGGACCACGGTAAGCAGCATACCAGCTCAGTACACAGTGAAGTTATCTAAAGGACATGGATTTTAGTGTGTGTGTGTATGTGTGTGGGGGGGGGGGTATAAGAAGGAGGTCTACTTTCATTCTTTTGCATATAGAATTTTTCCCTGAAAATTGGAATTGAATTTCTGAAACTTTTTTGAATTTTGGAATTGAATTTCTGAAAATTTTTCAGTTTTCCCTGCATCATTTACTGAAGAGACCGTCTTTTCTCCGTTATATAGTCTTGCCCCTTCTGGCACAGATCAATTGACCAAATAAATGTGGATTATTTCTGGGCTCTCTGTCTTGTTCCATTGATCTATTTTGTGCCAGGATTACTGCAGTTTTTAGTCTATCTTAAAGTCTGGGAGTGTGATACCTTCACCTTTGTTCTTCTTTCTCAAGATTGCTTTGACTATGCAGGGTCTTGTGTGGTTCCTTATAAATTTTGGATTATTCTAGTTCTGTAAAAAATACTATTGATACCTTTTTTTTTTTAAGATTTTATTTATTTGACAGAGATCACAAGTAGGCAGAGAAAGAGGAGGAAGCAGAAGAGGAAGCAGGCTCCCTGCTGAGCAGAGAGCCTGATGCGGGGCTCGATCACAAGACCCTGGGACCATGACCCGAGCCGAAAGCGGAGGCTTAACCCACTGAGCCACCCAGGCGCTCCAGAATACTATTGATATCTTGATAGAGATTGCATTGAATCTGTAGATTGCTTTGGCCAGTATGGATATTTTAATAATATTAATACTTCCAATCCATAAGCATGGTATATCTTTCCGTTTGTGTCTTCAATTTCTATCATCAGTATTTTATATTTGTGACAACATGGATGGACCTAGAAGGCATTATGCTTAAGTGAGAGAAGCCAGACTGAGAAAAATACCATATGATTTCACTTATATGTGGACTCTAAAAAAAAAGAAAACAAAACAAATGAACAAACAAAACAAACAGAATCATAAATAGAACAAACTCGAGGTTGCCAGAGGATTTGGGGGTGGGGGGTACCTGTTGAGCACAAGGTGAAGGGGGAATTAAGAGGTACAAACTTATGGTTATAAAATAAGTCACAGGGATGAAATATATAGCATAGGGAATATAGTAAATAATATTGTGCTAATATTATATGCTAATAGATAACTGAATTTATCATGGCGAGCCTAGTGTAACATGTAGAATTGTCACATCACTATGCTGTACACCTGAAACTGATATAACATTGTACTCCGCTGTACTTCAGTAAAAACAAAGAATATGTATATACTTGTTTTTTCAATCAACGTTTTAGAGTTTTCAATGAAGTTAATGCTAATAGTGGAAACAAATCAGGCAACAGTTAGTCATGGAGTGAATTAATGGGCCATATAATATCACAAAGATCTGCGAGCCTGTTTACTTGACTGTTGTGTGTCAAAGAGAGGACCGACAGGCAAGTTGGCTGCTTATTTGTTTTGCCTGCCATATTGCCAAGACAGGAAGCTCCTGGCCCATCTCACATGATTCTCCTACCTCTCTCCTTCCTTTTCTCTAAATTAGATGGGAGGCAGTAAAACATGTGAGGGTTGGAAGTAGAAGAAGCATTTGGATGATTTATTACCACTTGAATTTGTGCCACCTGTTCTTATACAGAGTCCCTGAAAAAAAAAACAACAAAAAAAAAAACCTGTTCTTCCTGGATCTAAAGGCAGCGGAGATGACTCATTTTTGCCTAAATTTTTCCCATCATAAGGATATCCATTAGCACTTCCCAGCTTAGAACTATCAGACACCAACAGCTCTCTTGTGAAAACATGTTTGGTATTATTTTTAGACCTAAAATTATACCATGAATCTAACCCTTCTATCTTGAGAAATAGACCCTTGAGAGAAACCAGGGTGTTTTGATTCTGTTTGCATGAAAGCGCATCTGCTTATCTGCAGTCTCCTCCCTCTCTGGCTCCTTGGATTTCAGCCCCTAGGATTCTGAGTTCTTGAGGATCCGGATGACCTGCACTCACCAGTAGGTACAGTCGGCCTTTTGTACCATTGCTTGCCTTTGTGGAGCCTCAGGAGTAATCCAGTAGCATATTCCTCTTTGCCCTCATACTCGAGCCCTAATTCTATTTCCCAAGTGAGGGTTTGACCAGGCCTACAAATGCTCCACACCTTGACCCCTTTTATAGCCTTCATGGAGGCACCTTTTATTTCATGCTTTTTCTCTGTCATCCTTTTTCCACTACTATATTCCCATTTTAGTGTGTTTTATTTACATTTACCCTATAGTTGTAGTTCACTTTCAGGTGAACTTATTTCTCTCATTCTAGAAGGAACTGTTTTTTACTCAGAGCATAGAGAAGGCTGTCTCCTCCATATCCAGGTAATAGCTAATTATTTTTAATGTAGCTTTCTAAAATTGTAGTTCTAGACTCATGTGAAGAGAGTGGTATTTATGTTCCCTGAATTCTTGCTGATTTAAGCTCCTTGAGGATAGATAATTCTGCATACATGCAAGCGTAGATTATATGAATCAGTTCATTGTATTTTGAGCTAGCTAACAAGACAGCCTGGGAGGCAGCTGTCTCAAGTTTAATGGCAAAGAGATACAGAAATCATCCTTACATACATCCAGGCAAATAGTTCCTTGCACACTTAAATTGTTTGTTGTGTCATTAATGGTTAGCACCCCCCCCTCCCCCACTCTGTACCTTACCAGCTGTGTCTACTTGGGCAAGTCACTTAACTCCCCTCAGCCTCAGCTTCTCCTTCCATAAAATGGGGATAACGGGATCTATGAACATAAAGTTGTGGAGGTCTGAATGAGGTAACTAATGCACGTGAAGAACTCTGCAGTGTGCCTGACACCTAGAAACTCTCGGTGTATTCGCTGTGATTGCTACTGCGGTGACGATTTTTCTACTCCATTTTGCCCCTTAGACCACAAGAAAAAGGAAACCCTGTTTTAACATACAATGGATTTTTCCAATCTTTTCAGTCATAAAAGTAATCAAGTTTTTTCAAAAATTTCTAGATATAAAAGTTTTTCAGACATTTCATGGAAACAATTGAGCACGGTTAGAAAGAAACCTGTTCTTTTCAAGATCCTGGCTAGTGTATTGAGGTATATGATGTGCCTACTTAGCAGTGTGTGGCCGGCCGGACGCGCCCGGCGGAATGCTGTCCAGATAGGCAGGCCATCCCCACGGCAGGTGGCTGTGAGTGCCCGCCGTGGGCTTGCTTATGTTGCTCAGATCCCCACACACCACAGAACACTGCATCCCAGTGTCGCCGTGAATGTGGCTGCCACAGACTCACGCTCTATAGTTCTCTTGCGTTATCTGCATTTCTTTCTCTAGAATATGTTCAGGGCACACCTGTGAGACTCTGACAGACTATTTGGTGGGATGTTTTCATAATAAATTCCTAAAACACATCCACAAAACCAATTTTTTTCCTTCTCAGCAAACAGCATCTTTTATATTGTGTTTAATACTGTTCAATACTTTTATATTGTATTCATTTCAGGTAAGGTATGGCTAGTTACAATTTTTTCCCCCTCCCTTTCCTTATGTTTCTGTCCTGCACCAACCTCAGACTAAAACACGGGCTGCCAAGAGACATAGTGTTTTGTTATGAGGCAGCGCAGGTTAAAAAATAAACAGTTTTCCAGGGACACAGAGAGTCTGAATTTAAATTCTGGCTCTGCTGCTGCCACTTTGTGTGACTCTCCGGAAGCGCTACTCTCTGAGCCTCAGTTTCTTCGTCTGTAAAAATGAAGCAGTCAGTAAGCACTTGTGGTACAAATACTTCTTGTATGCACATAAAGCTTTAATGGTCATTAATAGTCACGTTTTGTGTCTCTGCTGTCTGCAGGCAACTGTTAATTCCAGAACATTACTACCAGATTCTTTCTGTTACTGTAGCTTTGCATCTTTGGGCTAAGTCCTGGAATTCCATTTGTAGTGTTCTTTCAGTCAAATGAATTTGTGAGCCCCGGGTCCTTCCGTGCCCAGGCCCATCTAGCATAAGTCAGACAGCTTTCTGCATAACCTGGAAGTCAGACTAGATGCTCTCAAAAGAGTTTGGTGTGGGCTTACGCCTCCCCAGGATGGTATACTCTACACAAGTCTTCTCAGAGTCCCCCACCTCCCCCACCCCTAGCCGTGGGACTTTGATTCATGAGTTCCTCTAAGCAGCTTGTCTTATCCTCAGCACTGTCGACATTTTGGGCCAGATCTTTCTTGGTTGTGGGGGCTTTTCTGCGTGTTGTAGGATGTTCTACCCACTACATGCTGGTAGCACCCCGGTAGTTGTGGCAAACCCCAAATGTCTAAATACTACCAAATGTCCCTGTTGGGGGGGTGGATTAAAATCACCCCTGTCGAGAGTCACTGGCCTAAGGCAAGTGTCATACCGTCTATTGGGTTTGTACCTGTTGAGCACAAGGTTCCAAATGCCACATGCTGTCGGTAAACACGATCAGCAAGGACTCACCTGTCTACCTAGTTCCTAGCAGTTAAGGAATATTCTGTTATTTACCAGATGGTAGAAAGCAAATAGGAGCTACATAGGTCTAAGAGCTCGAAGTACAAAACTAGTCATGACTGCCTAAAATTGGCCACTGATAATTATGTCCTCTTTGATTTCTTTGCTGAAGATACCCTTTGCCCTGGTATTAAAACTACCACATTTCTACCAACTCTCTTTGTGCCTCTGTGCCTCTCTCTGGCTCCAGCTTTTATTTTCTTGTGTAATAGTGGAGGTGAGTAAGCACTTTCTTCCTGAAAAATTCAGGCAGGGGGTAAAGAAAGTGGTATAAGCAGCAGGATAGGAGTCTACCCCCTTCTAGTCGTTTTGCCCCAGAGAAAGTGGGAAGTATTAGCAGCCACCGGGTTTGGGCATCCTTCAGCCCTGAAAAGAGGGGTTTACTAAGTTATCTTGCAGTACCATTCCATGTATTCAAGAGTAGTTTGGCCTTGAAACATACAGGAACAGAATATATTCCAGTGAACACTTCCAAAATATGTTGGGCATTGTACTGAATGCTGGGAATCCATTGGACCAGACAGACCAACTACCACCAGGACTTCCATTCTAGGAGATGTGTGCTTCTTGAATGCTTTGGGTTTTTCTAAAGTCTTTTGGTGATCTGAAAGAAAATAGAAAACAATTTATAGACCCTCAGTCATTTTCTTCAGTACATTTTGGCTCCCAGGCGTTGTGTTTATGGCATGATATCTGCAGAGCTCTGAGAGTGTTTCTCTTGAGGGGGGTTAGAGCTTTGCTAGGGCTGGTCTTTTTGATTATGTATTTGTTCTATCATTTGTGTGTTCCGGTGTCTTTTTAAATGTCTTGCAGAAATACTGGGGGGATGAGTTTCCTTCCTGATGTTTTTCCTTCCTTCTCCCCACCCCTGCCATTTATCTGACTGGAAGTGGTACTACTGGAAGGAGATTGCCCTGTAAAGTTAAAAGCATCCTTATAACATAGCTGCTAATAAACAGCGTTGTAGCAATCAGTGTCTGTTGTATCTGTCCTGCTGATAAAGCTTCGAGGGAAAGTCCTGATAACCAAACAATGGCTATTTTATAAAAAGAACTAGATATTACATAAAGCAGAGGAAAAGGCAGCATTTAAAATCCCCTCAAGGGGCGCCTGGGTGGCTCAGTGAGTTAAAGCCTCTGCCTTCAGCTCAGGTCATAATCCCGGTGTCGTGGGATCGAGCCCCGCATTGGGCTCTCTGCTCAGTGGGGAGCCTGCTATCCCCTCTCTCTCTGCCTGCCTCTCTGTCTACTTGTGATCTCTCTGTCAAATAAATAAAATCTTAAAATCCCCTCAAACAAGCTTTCCCAAGGTGTACAGGTGTTAACATTACATGTGATGATGAAGGAGAAAAGAAAACGAAATCTAGCCTGGTTCCTTCAAAAGCCAAGCAGGGATACTACACTGTACCTTCTGACCCACAGCTGGTTTGTCTTCAGGGTCCCCAATGTGTGTAGAGTGCAGATGAGAGCTCTGTGCTAACGTGATGCCTCAGAACACCAGAGGAAGTGCCTGGAAATACATCAGTTCTTTTAAAGTTTTGTTTTCTTACTCTCCATTTCAGATACGGTTTTGGAGAGGCAGGGAAGCCGAAATTTGGCATTGACCCTAATGCTGAGCTTATGTATGAAGTGACACTTAAGAGCTTCGAAAAGGTGAGAAAATAACCAACTTCTCTAAATCATGGTAGATTTCTTCTCCGTCCACTTCCCAGAAACGACTATCTTACATTATTATTAGTGGTGTGGATAGATGGTATTTATTCGTATGTTGGGCTTTTTGTGACGAAGTTTGTCTCTTGCCTTTGACACTGCTCCCAGAGTCTGGAAGAACTGATACTGCACAGCTGATACACAGCTAAGGAGCTCAGTGTTCTTATTTTGTTCCTACGTGTCAGCCTTTTTTTTTTTTTTTTTTTTTTTTTAACTTTTTTTGGGTAGAATCCAAGACTTGTTCCCTTATTTGTTCCTAGACTTGTTCTTTCTGTACTTTTTTTCCTGGGTTGAAGACAAAAAGGTTCACGTTCTGCCAAGCAGCTCCTTGGGGGAGTGGGGTGCAGTTTTCCGAAGCTGAATGGATTGTACCCTTCTTGGAGTCGTGGAAAGGAAGTTATCCAAAATGCGAGGCATCGTGGACCACCAGGCTCTGTGACAAGAGACACAAGAGACAAACCTGCTGACCCTCCAGCCTTTTCTTTTCCTACCCGTCCAAGTCTAAAAATGAGAGTTTGTCAGTTGCTTTGGGTTCCAGAAGCAGCAGCCCTCCTGGAGCGTGTTTGTCTCAGGCCTACCTCTGGAGGCTCCAAGCAGCAGTTTCACCAGACACACACAAAGCGGATGCCTGTGCTTAGGCATGCCATCACGGCCAGCAAAGTCCCCTCTGCAAATCCAAGGCCCCACTCTCCCCAGAGAGCTTCTAAGAACTGCATTCTGTAGGCCTGTAGCGCTACCTCTGTGTTCTGTACGTTAAGCTGTGGACTGGAAATGTGATTATTCATATTCTATTAGACTTAGTAAGGAAATCATTGTCCTGTGGGGCTGGAACTTTGGGCCAGGAAAGTCAGGGGAATACTGCTTTGGGATTTTCCCCCAACAGTGACATTCCTGATCATACCCCTCACACTCCATGTTCCCCCAGACAACCACATTATGCTCTTGTCATGACCATCACGTATTGTCCGGGTACCTCTCCTGAAGGCCTGCCAACTCAGCTCTGATCCTCCAAAGCTGCCTCCATAGCACGATGGTTTTTATTATTAGAGAGAAAACAATCTTTAGCATATGGTTATTTCAACCTTGGCTTTCCCATTTCCATTTCCATTTTAATCAAGTAAGCCACAGCCCCCTCCCATCCACAGCCCAGCGGACGCTTCTTTACCGCAGTGCATTCTCACTGTTGTGTGCTATAAGGAGCCCCCACACACTCCCTGCTCCGAGAGCGTGGCTCCAGGATATTTGAAACCATGTATATTTGAAACCATGTGAAAGTGTGATGTTGTTGGAGGCAACATTTTAATTCTCTGCCTTGGGCGCCTGGGTGGCTCAGTGGGTTAAAGCCTCTGCCTTCGGCTCAGGTCATGATCTCAGAGTCCTGGGATCGAGCCCCACATCGGGCTCTCTGCTCAGCAGGGAGCCTGCTTCCTCCTCTCTCTCTGCCTGCCTCTCTGACTACTTGTAATCTCTGTCTGTCAAATAAATAAAATCTTAAAAAAAATTTTTTTTTAATTCTCTGCCTCGTAGTATTAATAACACACTTATACCCCATAGAAACCAAACTCTGTATAAAAAATGCTGAGGGCCCTTGTTACTAGATTTTAAAATAATAGAGCTAAATTGTCAGAAGCAACACAGGGTTGCCAGAAATACTGGTAACTCTCATTATTCACTTGGTGGGGCTGGTGGCAGCAGGAATACATCACTAATTGTTTCTTGAATAGAGAGAATTGTACAGTTACCCACTCAAGTTTCGTAATTCCTGCAGTAGTAGCACTGACACAGCCACTGTCGTTTCCCCTAAAGGATCCCAGATTGTTCTCTTGACTCTTGACACTCCCTTTAAATCCAGCTATTCATACTGAAAGTGCAGTTGGCTCTGGATTCCTATCTCTAATGGTGGAGAGTGATAATACACATGATACGAAATAGCAAATGGTCACGAAATCCCTGGAAATATTTCTGCATCTATGTTTTACTTGAAATCCCCCAGGTATCCATCTGCAAGTTGACACAGTTTGGAAGCTTTAGTTGTTCCAGTGGCGAGACGATGACCTGGCCTGGCATTTAAAAAATTGTGTGAATATACGCCTAAGACTTGACTACAGTAGTGTTCCCATTTTAGAGTTTGAAACACTGAGGCTTGAGAGAAACAACTTGCTGAAATTGTAATGGCAGTTTGCTGGGGAAGTTTATGGGAGGGAGATGAGGGACGTTGGGTTTTGTTGTGTGTCCTCACCTCATAACTCCAAAGATGCGCTCTTCAACAGCACACAGTGGCTTAGGTTCCTTACTGTGCTTTCGCCTGCTCTTCCTTCTTGGGCACCACGGGCCAGACTGCAGCTTGGTCATTGTGGAAGGTGAGTTCTAGCCTAGCAGTGGGTAGGCAGTGGCACCCAGTTTTAAAAGCCAGTGCATTTTGAGGTGTGGGTATCCTAGAAGAAGCCGCTGTGTGTTCTTATAGCCATTAGCTAATGCTCTTTCCTTCTCTGTTCATCTAACCGTTGTTACAAATTTACACAACAGGCAAAAGAATCCTGGGAGATGGACACCAAAGAAAAATTGGAGCAGGCTGCCATTGTCAAAGAGAAGGGAACTGTGTATTTCAAGGTGTGTGAGTCCTTGTACAGTCTTTTCCATCACAAAGAATTTGTTCAGGTTGTCAGTTGTGCTGACATCCCCTACTCTGAATTCTATCAGCACCCTTTTGGGTAAGAGTAAGTCTGAATTTTTACAAGTCTGTCATTTTCAGTATTAGAAATGGTGAGAAGGAATGGATTAATGTGACAAAAAGAATACAGATGTTTCTTTTACACATTCTACTCCAGATTGTAACCGTCCATAAAGGCAGGCCAGGTCTGGCTTGCCCACCCTCCACTGTATCTCGCAAGACCTAAGGCATCTTTTTTGGTACATAGTTGGCACTCAGCAAGTGTAGAATTAAACAAAGAATGAATCGGATAATTGTTAGCAGGTGAGAATTCGTGGAGGTAAGTTTCACATCATCTTCCTTTCCGCTGTCTCGGTCGAGCCACTGAGGCACATGACAAAAGGAAAGAACTCGCACAGATTCCAGAAGAAACCAAAAGGAAGAGAATATTCATTTCCTCTAGTGGCCCAAATGATCCCTGCCACATTTGGTTTTGTGAGGAATCTTGAGAAACTCCTGAATGACATTTGTTATTGATTGCTTCTTGAAAGCCCTTTCTAGTTATATCTCGGAATGTGTTACTTCCTCACTTAGATCTTAAACCCTCAGATATAAGAGAAAAAGAAATAGCAGTTCTCATCAGAATGCTCTGCCCATTGCCATTGCTTCCCCACCCCCAACCAAGTACTTTCTCCATGTCCAGCAGAAAGGGTTTAGAGAGGAAGAGAGTGAAAGAATGGAGTTCTGTCAAGTTTTTTTTCTTCTTGCCACTGCCATCCAAAAAATTAGATGATGTTTTCAACAGCCTAAAGCAATGATGCATTAAATGTCCTTCAAGTTTTTATGGAGCATCTGCTCTGAGACTTGCTCTTGCACGGACAGCCTTGTCTGGGGTAGGGGGGAAGCAGTGTTACCCCCCATGAAACAGCTAGAGAATGATGTAACACTGTATAACCAAGGCAGAATTCACACAGCCAGGGGCCAACATGTGTGGTGGTTGTTTTTCAGACTGTGAAAACAGACCCATTATTGGGCCATGATACCAATTTAGTGGAAGTATATTGCATTATGTAGTAAAGACAAATTTTGTTTCATAAAATTTGTTCAGTTGTGTGTGAGTGGGCACTGGATCATAATTGAAAACATATTTCTTACTGTGGGTTATAGCTAAACACATTTGGAATCTGTTGGAATAGTTAATATATGATTATTTATATTTATCTATAGCTATTATATATACTGAGGTAATATGTATGGATCACCGGAAAGCTTGGGGGAATAGTGTAATAAGCTCCAAATTGGGAAAACCGGGCTTTATGGCTCCAAGTGGTTTAAAGCTATTTAACGTCGAAAGAGGTTACTTTTGTGTGTGAAAGGTGATGGAGTTATGGGCGCCTGTGTGGCTCAGTCGATTGAGCATCCGACTCTTTTTTTTTTTTTTTTTTTTTTTTTTTTAAGATTTTATTTATTTGTTTGACAGAGAGAGACAGTGAGAGAGGGAAGCAGGCTTCCTGCTGAGCAGAGAGCCTGATGCGGGGCTTGATCCCAGGACCCCAGGGTCATGACCTAAGCCAAAGGCAGACGCTTAACAACTGAGCCACACAGGTGCCCTGGGCATCCAACTCTTGATTTCAGCTCAGATAGTGATCTCAAGGTCATGGGCTTGAGCTCTGCATCGGGCTCCACACTCATCAGGGAGTCTGCTTATCCCTCTCCTTCTATTCCTCTCCCTGCTTTCTCTCTTTCTCTCTCTCAAATAAATAAATAAAATCTTTAAAAAGTGATGATGGGACACCTGGGTGGCTCAGCCGGTTAAGCGTCTGCCTTCGGCTCAGGTCATGATCCCAGGCTCCTGGAATTGACCCCTGCATGGGGTTCCTTGCTCAGTGGGGAGCCTGCTCCTCCCTCTGCCTGCCCTTTCCCCTGCTTGTGCCCTCTCTCTCTCAATTAATAAAATCTTTTTTAAAAAGTGATGGGGTTAGATTAAATGATCCCCAAGTCTTTTTCCAGCCCTAAAGTTCTGTGATATTCAAAACTCTTGAAAAGTAATTTTGATTTTTTTTAAATTCTAATTGAACTATATTGGATACTTCTAAGCTATTCAAATAAGCTTCCACATGAGTTATGTGTAGACTCAAATACACAATATGCTAGAATGAAATATTTTTTGTAAAATCCCTTAGGACCATAGGTCCCAAATGGTGTTTCCTATAAACCTGGAGTCTATAAAAGTCCTTACTGTATTTTTATTTCCCAAACTTCTAAGTAGAATATTAATAGTTTGGGGATGGGGGAGGAGTTGGGGTTTTGGCATCTGACTAGAATTCTATCAACTCTGTGTAGTAAAACAGCTCAGCTATTCAGAAGCTCTAATTGGTTGCTGATGACTCAGAACTTTAGGGAACAGTATTGGTAATGAAGTAATGTGGCAAAGCCACGTGTTGTATAGCTGTGTGCTGAACACAGAGATGGCCAGAATTAGTGATCGGTGACAGAAAGCAGGGCTTCTGTGTCCGTACGGTTACTTAACTTTGTCGCTTCTGAGCATCACAATTGGAGTAGTGATTTGTGTATTCATAATATTAAGAACCTTCTAAAAATTACTGATCTTTGGATAAAATCTGGATCAGCAGTCACACATATGGAACATATTATTTTTAACATGCAGTCTGATAGACAAAATCTGTCAAAACATTAGTCTGTTGGGGGAAAATTAATGTAAGGTTGAAAACCACTGACCTAAGACTTTTCTCCCAGAATGTCTCCGAACATTTTGTACTACTAGAGACTTCCCTGGAGGCACCTTCATAATTATAGGTAAAAGATCCCAGCAGTGATCCTAGTTTTAGATGTAAGACTTAAAAATGGTTGGTAGATAGTTTCCTGTACACATTCCCTTTTAAAATTTCAGGGCAGGTTTCAATCTGCCACTCTGCCCTCCTGGGCTTCGTATTTCCGAGTGTTTGACTTGGCACGTTGAGCACATGCACAGAGTCCAGATGTGTGGGTGAGAGCAGAGATAGGGCAAAGTAAAAATCTACACTTCATGCCATCTAGTACATTACAGCTCCATTTTCATCGACCTGTGTGTTTGGTTTACACATAAGTAGGTAGATTTCTCCCCTTAGTAAAGGGCTGAATCGCACTCAGTTTTAAAATGGGAATCGTGGGCACCTGGGTGGCTCAGTGGGTTAAGCCTCTGCCTTCGGCTCAGGTCATGATCTCAGGGTCCTGGGATCGAGTCCCACATTGGGCTCTCTGCTTGGCAGGGAGACTGCTTCTCCTCTCTCTTTGCCTGCCTCCCTGCCTACTTGTGATCTCGCTCTGTCAAATAAAAAATAAATAAAATCTTTGAAAAAAAAAAAAAGGAATCGTTGTGCTGTTTAGATTGTCAACTCCTCATATCAACCTCTGAAGGCTAAAGAGAAGAAAGGCAGAAGACTCTCTTCATTTAGCTCTGAATATAATTAACAGAGAACAACATGCCATTCATTGTGCCAGGCATTGTGCAAGCCAATTAAACAGACCTGATTTTTGCCCTCAGAGCTGATAGTGTCCTGCAGGACAGGAGCATTAACTATCGGACTTGACTAGTGTTTCTCTTTTCTGACTTGGAGACAGAGTGGTAAGAAGGCTGAGGACACTGCAGTGATACGGGGCTCTCACGCCCCCTTGTGCTCCTTGGGAAAAAAGCATTTCTCGAGCAAGTTAAGGATCATCGTTCAACCGCCAAACCCTTTTCAGACAAACCAGGCTTTGCTGTGTTTTGACTTTGCTGAACCAAGAAACCAATGCTGTAATTTAGAAACAAGTCATCCATAACTCTAGAATTTCAGGTTTTAAAAAAAACTCCCAAGGAAGTGTCCGCCCTGCCTTCTTTCTCCTCCCTTTATTCATTTAGTATAGCATTTCTCAGCCGTGACACTACTGACATTTGGGGCTGTGTAGCTCTGTGATGCTGAGAGGCTGTCCTGTGCTTTACAGGATGTGTAGCAGCAGCCCTGGCTTCTCCCTGCTAGATGCCAGTAGCACGCACACTCCTTGCACACACTCCTTGCAGTTGTGACAAAATATTGCCAGATGCCCCCCAGGGAGCAGAATCACCCCCACGCTGAAAACTCTTGTTTTAGTACATTAGAAGCAGAAATACCACAAAACAAGATTCTTGTTCGTTGGAAGTTGAGCTCTAAGTACAGTTAGGAGACAGATGAAAGAGCTTTCAAGAAATTAAAATGCTGTATAAATGTAAAGGAACTATTACAAAGTCTGTTAGGTTTTTTGGGTTTTGGTTTTTTGGTTTGCCTGTTTTTTTTTAAACGATAGCCCTCTACCATTCTGATTATTTAGAACCTACCATTATTATTATTTTTTCTAATTTATCTGAAAGAGAGAACAGGAAAGTGCTCAAGCGAGGGGATGGGCAGAAGGAGAAGCAGGCTCCTGGCTGAGCAAGGAGCCCAATGTGGAGCTCGATCCCAGGACCCTGGGGTCACAATCTGAGCCAAAGGCAGGTGCTTAACTGACTGAGCCACCCACGTACCCCAGAACCTACCATTATTATAAGATCTGGATCATTGTCCTCCCTGGCTTTTTTCTTTCCCTATGATAATACATTAGGAGATACAAAGAAAAGGTAACAGGTACATTTGAGGAGGACAAGAAAGAAGCAACTGTCAGAACAGAGAAAATACCTGTCCTCCTTACCTAATCTGAATAAAATGATACCTTTCATTTCTATGCACTTCTCCATTTTTGCTCCCCATGATAGAGAAAGTTTTGATTGCATAGTTATATCTTTGACCTTAATATTTCTTCAGACCTTTACTAGGGCTTCTTTGTGCTAAGTATCTTTGGATATTCCAAAGGGATAAGACATGATTCCTATCCTCAGTTGCTCCCCATCCAGCACGAGAAAAGACAGGGAAAGAAAGAAATGACAAACCCTGAAACTCAGGAGGACTTTCTTCTCTGTAGTGCCTTGAAAAGTAGTGGGCCTCAGGCTCTGATAAAATATAAGTGTTGTCTTCATTACCTTGGGCTGCCATAATAACATCTTGTAGACTGGGTGATATAAAGAACAGGAGTTTACTCACATTTCTGGAGACTAGAAGTCTAAGATCAAGGTGCCAGCAGGGTTGGTGTCTTGTGAGGATGCTCTCTTTGGGTTCCAGATGGCTGCCTGCTTGCTCAAGCGTCCTGAATGAACTGTCCTAGGTGCTAGCGCCAAGGGAGAAAGCGAGGAAGGAAGTTCTGTGGTGTCTCTTGCAAGAGGATTAAGTACATCATGAGGGCCCCACCCTCGACCCCACTGAAACCTGATTACTTGCCAAAGGCCCCATCTCCAGATACTATCATATTAGAGATAGGCCTTCACCCTGTGAATCGGGGGCACAGAAGACACACAGTTCAGTCCATAGCATGCATAATATAATTTCCTCAAAAATTTCAGCATTTGTTATAAAAGGGCCTGGATTTCATTTTCTTATAAATAACCGTATCACAAATGTCTGAGGCCGAGAGGATAACAGACTTTGATTTTAGTACGCTTTCCTTCAAAACTCTTCAGAATTTTTTTCGCTCTGCCCTTCTATCGCAGAACCTGTGGGTGCTGTAAGTCTTCTGTTCCCTAAACAAGTCACCTGTGAAGTGGGATGTTCAGTGGGGGATGTAGCTTTCCTTTAATCCGGACTTAGACCTTCCACTTGGAACTGGTCTGCTCCATCCTCATCACCAAAAATCAGCATCAGGGCTTCTTTCTACAAGTGGAGCTCCTTTCTTGCACCAGCCACTTGAAGTCTTTTGTAACTGGAACATTCTCATAGACTTGCTCTGGGTTTCTCTCTTCTTAGTCTTTGGGTGACCTTTGGAGTATGGGGAGAAACCTCTACATTGAGGGATATACACTGCTTTGACTGTGCTAAGTCCTAGCAACATGTTCTTAACACTGTTCATGGGTCACACATTGGATCTAGTATCTTTAGGGATCTGGCGACAATTCTGCCACCTGGTAGGATGTGTCATCTGCTTTCAGGCTTATAGTCAAATCCTGCAGAGGAGATTCCTCACCTGTACTCCCCTTTTATTTGTGTATTTACCAGCTGTCACTTCTTTCATCTTAAAATGGCAATAAACACATTGTCCTGGCCCCATAATTTCTTGCATGGAGCATATATATAATTAATTCACATGAATTAACTACACAGTTATTATTCATAATTGTTAATTTTCTACCAATCAGGTAAGAGCAAAAATACGGTAGGAGAAAGATTTTTCTCATGTAGTTCGCCGACTGACATCTATGTGATTTGTGTCTTATTTATGTTGTATGCTGTTCAACTATGTGTATTTCCATTGTCTGTAGATCAGAGGTCAGCAAACTACACCCTGTTTTAGGAAGTAACATTCTACTAGGACACAGCCACATACACTTACAAGCAACCCTTGAGCAACATGGGTTTGAACTACACCAGTCCAATTATATATATGGACTTCTTTCAATAAATGCAGTACAGTATCATAAATGTATTTTCTTTTATGGTTTTCTGAATAACATTTTGTTTTAATCTTACTTTATTGTAAGAATACCATATATAATACAAATAACAGGTAAAATGTGTTGCTCAGTTGTCTGTTATCAATAAGACTTCCAGTCAACAGTAGACTATGAGTAAAGTTTGGGGGAAGTCACAATTATATAAACACTCATCATCAGGGAAATGCAAATGAAAACCACAATCAGATATCACCTCACACCTGTTAGAATGGCTAAAATCAACAACACAAGAAACAACAGCTATTGGCAAGGATGTGGAGAAAGGGGAACCTCCTTGTACTATTGGTGGGAATACAAACTGGTACAGCCACTGTGGAATACAGTTTGGAGGTTCCTCAAAAAGTTAAAAGTAGAACTGCCCTGTGATCCAGTAATCACACTAGTAGGTGTTTACCCACACAAAAACAGTAATTCAAAGGGATACAGGCACCCCTATGTGTATTGCAGCATTATTTACAATAGCCAAGATATGGACCCAAGTGTCTATCAGTACATGATAAAGAAGATACAGCATAAATATATAGTAGAATATTATTCAGCCATAAAAAGAATGAAATCTTGCCATTTGCAATGACATGGATGCAGCTAGAGAGTATGATGCTAAGTGAAATAAGTCAGAGAAAGACAAACACCAGATGATTTCACTCATGTGGAATGTAAGAAACAAAACAAATGAGAAAAGGGCCGGGGTGTGAAGACAAACCAAGAAACAGACTTAACTATAGAGAACAAACTGACAGTTACTAGAGGGGAGCTAGGTGAGGGGATGGGTGAAACAGGTGAGGGGAATGAAAGAGTACCCTTGTCATGATAAAAAAAAAATTAATAAAATGATAATTAAATCATTTAAAGTAAGTTATACACAGATTTTCAACTACACGGGGAGTCACAGCCCGAAGCCCTGTGTTCAGGGATCAAACATATTTACATATTGTCTGTGGCTGCTTTTGTACTACCGTTGACCGAGTTGCAACAGAGACTGTTTGGCCTGCAAAGCCTAAAATATTTATTATCTGCCCCTTTACAGAAAAAGTTTGGCAACTCCTGGTTTAGATAACTAAGGTTTTCTGTATTTGTGACTGGCACTTACCAGCACGTAGTCTCTACTGTGGAGTGCTGATCATCAGGAGAAAAGGGAAAAGTAACTTCCCTTTCAAGTAAACTAGTGATAGAGTCTAAAACTACTCACCAGCCTTATGAAAGTGTGATAAACACTAGCACCAAAGAATGTCACCCAAAGCCTTGACGCCCTCCTGCTGGAAGAACTCTCCCCTCGGAAAAGGATGAGATGGTACTTGCTGGAGAACAAACAGCATTCTAGAGTGCACTGCCTCAACCAGCTCAGAGGCCACTGGCACTGCAGAGAGAATGGGAAAGGGGGCCTGCATGGCCATCTCCTAAGAGCAAAAAGAAAGGATCAAATATCATGGTTAGTATGAGGGGATTGTTTCATTTGGAGGATTTGGTTGTCTCGGGGAGGCCTGAGCTTACAGTTCTTGGGTACCCCCTCCAGAGCCTGTACAAGAAATAATCCCTAGCTTTTTTTCTCCCAGGGAGGCAAGTACATGCAGGCAGTGATTCAATATGGGAAGATCGTGTCCTGGCTAGAGATGGAATATGGCTTATCAGAAAAGGAGTCTAAAGCTTCTGAGTCGTTTCTGCTTGCTGCCTTCCTGAACCTGGCCATGTGCTACCTGAAGCTTCGAGAATACACCAAAGCTGTGGAATGCTGTGATAAGGTAACGAGTGACGTGCATGTAGATATTCCAGATCTTTTTCTCCATCTTCATACTTGGTTGTCTTTTACTTTTTCTTAGCCAAGGGGTGGAGGGCTTTTCATTTTACTTTCTTATATTCACGTGTTTACTTGGGATTATTTGTTTCTCATTATGAATTGGGAAACTCAGAAAGATTGCGATTGCATTCAGATTTTTAAGATTTATGTCTTTTAGAGGGAAAGAGTGTGCACACGCACGCAAGAGAGTGGGGAGGGGAGAGGCAGAGAGAGAATCTCCAGCGGACTCCCCACTGAGCAAGGAGCCTGACACGGGGCTCCATCCCACAACCCTGAGATCATGACCTGAGCCAAAATCAACAATCAGATGCGTAACTGACTGAGCCACCCAGACACCACACAGTGAGGCTTTTCTGATGCATAGACTATAATATGTTATGAGTAGTTTTGTTAAAATTGGGGTGCCTGGGTGGTTCAGGGAGTTAAGCATCCAACTCTTGCTCTCAGCTCTGGTCATGATTTCAAGCCCCACATTGGGCTCCACACTGGGCATGAAGCCTACTTTAGGGGAAAAAAAAAAAAAGTTAAAATTCTTACAATCCATGACTTTCCTTAAATCTGTGGTATTTGATATTGGATATAAGAACTCCTCAGGTTCAATGTAATAAGAACAGACTTAATTTAAGCATTTCAAGACTTAAGTATGATAAGACTTGGAGCTGCTTCCATAGAGGATGTACACAGGCCACTTCCATATACTTCTGGGATTGTTTCTACAGGCTCAGTTTCCAGGTATGGAAATACAGAGTCAAAACTTAGGATTATTGAATATTATCCATCTATTTTTTTCTCATTATTATTGGCAACAAAAAAATTCTTGTTTTCGTTTTTATTTTTGGTTACTAATGAAATCATACATCTTTTCATTATTAGTCATTTGCATTTCTTCTGTGAATTGCCTGTTCATATCCTTCAACTAGATTATTTGTCTGATTTATATTGATTGAGGCAGTCTGTACATTATTACTGTTAACGCTTTGTCTGCCAGTACCTTGTTCTCCTCACTTGTAAGAAAAGTGTTAATATTTTAATATCTGTCACATCTTTTACTTTCTAACTAGATAGTTCTCCCCCACCCTAAGATGATGAAAATAATTCTGTTGAGTACTTGCAAAACCTACTCTAACTCAGTGTGCTTTTTAAAAAACTGATTAAAAATAACCCTATTATATTTTGCTGGGGGAGATTGCATGTAAGTGTATTTGGCCTAGAATCTTCCGTGTTTTGCTATGAGGTAAAAATTTAATTCTTATTTTCCATGTTTATAGCCAGTCTCGGCCCCATTTATTGCAAAGTTAATCCTTTCCCTACTGATTTACATTCCCACCTTTGTCCCTGTTAAATCTTTTAATATACATACACATGAATCTGTTTCTGAATGCTTTGTTCTGTTCCATGGAACTGTTTGCCCATAGACTAGCAATCAAACTTTTAATTTCAGTGGTTTCATAATGGTTTTTTTTCCCTTGTGGTAGGTCAGTCCCCTCCTATTTTTTTTTTTTTCCCCCAAAAATTTCTCTGCCATTTTGGGCATTTACTTCTTCCATTGAATTTTAAAATGAACTTCTGCAGAGGCCCCTCCTAAATCCCCTTGGGATCATTATAGAAATTGCATTAAATACAAAAGTTCATTTGGGTATAGTTAGTTGTATTTTGATCAATAGTATTTAATTACCTTGAGTCTTATCTCTTCAATACACTTTTTCGAGTCAACCCTTGGCCAGAAAGCTTTGGTAAGTCATTTAAATACTGAACTTCTTTGAAATGTCCACAAATTATATTCATGCTTTCTAAAATGTAGACCATCTGTCCCTAGGCCCTTGGACTAGACAGTGCCAATGAAAAGGGCTTGTACAGGAGGGGGGAAGCCCAGCTGCTCATGAACGAGTTTGAGTCAGCCAAGGGTGACTTTGAGAAAGTGCTGGAAGTTAATCCCCAGAATAAGGCCGCACGACTGCAGATCTCCATGTGCCAGAAAAAGGCTAAGGAGCACAATGAGCGGGACCGCAGGATATATGCCAACATGTTCAAGAAGTTTGCAGAGCAGGATGCAAAGGTATGTATAGACAGAACCACCTTGCCTTCGGGTATGTCAAAAACTGACCTTGCCCCTTTGATTTTTGTGTCAAGGTTAAGCATAGGCACACGGGCAGGTAGACAACCCAGGAGGCACAAGAATGGACAGATGATTTCTGACCCGATCTGAGGCTGGTTTGGATCCAGAAGTAGATCAGGCTGTTCTGCTCATCAGACATACACAGTTGTGAGGCACTGACATGTCCATGGAAGAGAGGAGAAAAGGAAGTTCCTTGGAGATGTACTAAAGTTTGCTAGTTTTTAAAAAACAAACACATCAAGTATTTTTTTGGATAATGCTTCTTTGTCGAGACTTCCCATGTTCCCAGGAAACGGGCCACCACGGGGAAGCCCCACCATCATGCCCTTTACATCGTCAGCTTCCCCTCCAGCAAAGTTGTATTCTGGTCCTGACCTCCTCCTCCACTCCCCAGCCCTCGTGTCGCGGCACTCCCTCCTCCCTCCACCAAGCTAGTCATGTTCACCAAAGAAAAGTGAAAGCTACCCCCTATTAACTGTTGGCAGCACTGCCCCGACTTAGCCACCCAGGCAGGCCTGGCGCAGGATGTGCCATGCTCTCTTGCTGTCTGAGGCCAGACCAGCAGTCAGCAGGAGCCAGGAATTATTTGAATGTTTCAGTTCTTTTGATTTCTTATTTCTTCCTCAGGAAGAGGCCAGTAAAGCCATGGGCAAGAAGACCTTAGAAGGGGTCACCAATGAAAAGGAAACAGAAAGTCAAGCGATGGAAGAAAAAGCTGGAGGCCACGTATGACCCCACGCAAAGGAGGGAAGAGCCCTAATGAACTCGGCCCCCTCCTCCATGGGCTTTCACCCAACTCAGGACTAAGCAGTGTTTAATGTAAAGTTTGTTAGAGTCTGTGTGAGTCTGGAAGCAAATGGCAAAACCAGTAGCTTCCCAAAAAACAGCCACCCTGCTGCTGCCCAGTGCTCTCCTTGAGGGGGTGGCATGGGACCACTCCAGGTGGAACAAAACAGAAATGACTGTTGGTGTGGCGAGATTGAGCCAACAGCGAAGTCCAGCTCATTTCAGTTTCTGTCAACTTTCAATATCTAATTCAGGGTCCCTTGAGATAATCCTAACAATCTGAGGCTGTTAGGTTTTACATCCGATTAACTTTAATAGCACTGCAGAAACCTAAAAATAAATGCTTCATGACTTTCTCCTTTCCTACTGTTGGGTGGGGGAGAGGAAGAGGAGGTTTTGTTTTTTAATTGACTGAAGTGCTAGCATTTTTACCCAATAGAACCCATGGGGAGAGGGGTCTGGAATCCCCTCAGGTCCTCAGTAGCACCAGACTCGAAAGCCAGAATCTCAGCGGTCACTTGCTTGCTGACTTAGCCGAATTCCCCCCTCACTAAGCCAGCCTTAGTGGGAGAGTGGGACTCTCTGCACCCAGCCTGGCCCTGGAGGAGGGAGTCTGTCCTTCCCAAAACGTTCTTCAGCAGTGATAATGAGCAGAGGGAGTTTCTAGATTAGCTTCCCCTGCAGTCAATGAAGTTCTGAGATGCTGAAATGTGAAAAGAGTAATCAGAATTGTGCTTTTTCCCCTCCTCTGTCCCTTGTAGGATGTAATGTTGAGTACAGTACTGCCGGCTAGCATTGCTGCTGCTCCGTTTCTTATTACCATTCTAACCCTTGCTATTAAGATTTGAAGACCTGTTCTTACAATATCTCTGACCTGGGGTGGATTCATTTACATATCCATTTAGGATCCACGCAGGGGTTTTTTTTTTTGTTTTTTTTTTTTTTTTTTTGTCTTTAAAAAATTACCGGCTCATAAACATGTATACTGGTTTATGAAACTTTACTTACACTCCTCTATCATGCAAAAAAAATTTTTTTGACTTTTTACTACTAAGTAGCTTGATTTTTTAAAAACAGTATCTGTGGAGTTGAAAAAGAAGGTGGTGTTCTTGTACATTAAGGGTTTTCCTCACAGGTTTGGCACGCAGTAGCTGTCTTTTCCTGCCGATGGCTTCTTTGTTCTGGTGTGAGTTGTGAAAAAGAATATTGAAAACCGCTTCCCATGCAGACACATCTCACCTAAAAGCTCCAGTCCCACGGCAAGTCATAAAATATGTACACATAGTGGAATCTTGGTCCTCACGGATAAGCGAGACTGAGCGTGGCTTTCTCTCCCTGTGGCCTGAGAAGCACTTGCAGGCCCACGTTTGCAACCGAAGGAAACAGTAGCTCCAACCTGGAACATCTCACTTGGTAAAATCCTAAAGAACACTGGCAATTACTAGTTTTTACCTTAATGGTGGTTTTAGCAAAACACTTCAACTGTTAGGTTAGGACCCACATCGAAACCTAAAAATAAAATCCTTTCCATTTATACCAGTTTTCTTCTCCATAGAACAAATGAAAATTAAATTGTTTCTCCTTTGACAACTAGAATCCTTTTAATTTCCCATTCTTGTATTTTTTCATAAGATTTCTTTTAAAAGCCCCAGTCTCGCCGAGGAAACATGAAAACCAGAAGTCAATTTTGCTTTGCTTGACTCCTTAGTATTTGTAGCTCTGTTGACTAGAGCAGGACTCCAGTGAGGCCAATACTGAGATCTGATCCTAAAAAGGCCAGTTAGCTTTTTGCAGGTAACAACCCAAAAACGATTCCAAAACTTAGATTATCCCAGCCAGTTGACTCCTGGGTGTGTATTACGGGTCACCTCGTGGCAGGGGAGAGTTGGGGTGTGCGGGTAGTTCTGAGCAAAGGATGGTGAGGTGCCCATCACCACTCGAGAAAAAGAAACTTCGTATATTCTTGTATCAAATTCAGTAATCTCAATTTGTCTGGAAACCAGCAGATGTCTTTGAACCATCTTTCAGACTGCATTTGGAGGGCTGAGGCAGCATATGATGAATTAAAAACTTGTTTAAAAAAAAAAATCATTCAGATGCACTTTTTTGTGTTCCTTAACCAAATGTGATTTCCCATTATTCTTGGGTTTTGTTTAAATAGTCCTCAGGCAAAGTCGTTTTGGTTGGAAAACTAGTATGGGCCAAGCTGAAGAAATGCAACCTCAGAAAATTGGCTGGAGACAGTGTGGTCCTCCTCGCGCTGAGGCAGACCTGGAAATCAGCATTGGGCTAAAGGAGTGATGCATCTTTGTTCAAATGAACCCAACCACCAGAAAAACAAGAGGAATTTGTTTTCTTTTTTTTTTTTTTTTTTTTTAAGATTTTATTTATTTGACAGACAGAGATCACAAGTAGGCAGAGAGAGAGAGGAGGAAGCAAGCTCCCCGCTGAGCAGAGAGGCTGATGCAGGGCTCGACCCCAGGACCCCTGGGATCATGTCCTGAGCCGAAGACAGAGGCTTTAACCCACTGAGCCACCAGGCACCCCAGGAATTTGTTTTCTTGTCCTCTGGTAGGTATTCCACCACGTTAACTGATTGTGTAAGGCAGGTTCAGTTTGGGAAACGAAGAGGTTTCATTGTGCCCTCTCTATGTAAAACGTGAACACGTGGCAGGGATATTCTGGGTTCAGCATGTGTTTACTCTTCCTTAAGTAGCATCAGATACTCATGGTTACATACCCTGAAGTCCTAAGGAGAGGCCACCTAGACTGCAAAAGAAAGGCGACACAGCTGTGGGCTGGTAGCGAGCCTGCCTCTAGTCATTCTTACCACTGGCACCTGTGCATGGCCCTGGTGGGCTCCTGCCGCTGCCTTTGAGTCCCTCAGAATTCCTTGCTTCATCTCCAGGTTGAATTTGACTCCTACCCCTCTGCTGCTAAGTTACCTGGGAATGAAATAATTCCCTTTATTTGCATGTGTTTGCTAAGCAAATATCGATCATACTAGGGCTATTAAGGGTAGCCAGAGAAAGTTTCCCAGCTGTAAGTTTGTGACCTGGGTGATTCAAGACAGCCTGCGTCCATTCCAGACCACAAGGAATATCAGTGAAGACCTTTGTCCACACTTGTTCAGCCTTCTTAAGCACAGTGCACTGGGATGTATTCTCTCAGACTGCAATGCTGGGGGACCCACCAACATTTGTGACAAAATACATTGAATTTGAGCTGTTTAATCAAAATCCCAAAGCTCCAAATTCCCTGACATAGCTGTATATTATTTCCATCAACTGGCTGCTTATGTGTTTGAATAGCAATGACTGGCAAAATTGTACATAAAGGGACATTCTTTCACGGCTTGAGAAAGTTTTCAGGAACCGTCATTCAGCACTTCCTTTCATATTTTTCTCCTACTTGGCTGACATTTGGAGTTGGGGGTAGGGACAGAATACCAAGAAAGTAATTTTCAATAATTTCAATTCAATAATTCAGTAATTTCATCACTGCTGTTTGTATAATTTATCTCGATCGATAATTGCACATCAGGTACACATGTGACCTTAGCAATACAATGCAGAAAAGGGACACTGCAGAGGGTAACTCCCAGGAGGACCTTTGTCAGCATCCCTTTGGGGCTAACCACTACCTACAGATGGGACAACTGGAGCATAGTACCCAATACAGGAATTCCTGAAGGCTCTTGGAGAACCGTGGCGGAGGACCCAGAATGGTGAAGTGGCCACCCACAGTCATCCAGGTCAACTGATGGTCTCTCACGATTCCAAAGTAAGTCTTTTTCTAGTCTGCAGAAGATGTCCTGACCACTGGAATGAGCTGTTGGTAGTTCTTTAAAATCCTCAAATATTTGGTAAACCTGAAATGGCAGCAGAGCCATAGGCCTCATAATTCTACTTTGGAGTAAAAATAGGGGAAATGCACTAGTATGTAAAGGATAGGCATGTTTTGCTTTTTAAAGAATGCTCTGGCAAAGCTGGTCGAAGGGCATTCAAGAACTTTCTGTGCCATCTTTGCAGCTCTTTTATAAATCTAAGTGTATGGATAAAATACTCTACCCAGCTCCAGAAATTCTGCAGTAATTTAAGGAAATAACTTAAGATGTATGCAAAGAATTAGTCCTAAGATAGTAATAGGAAGTAAACATACATAAAAGGGAATTAGTTAAGTATAATGAAGCATTACATCAGTGGTGTATTCCACAGTTAGGAAAATGATACTTTACAAATATTCTCAATGATACAGTATAGGAGTGCTGACAATACTGACTTCATCTTTGGCCCTCCCTCTTGTTCATCTTTGCTTAAAACCTCTCGTGGGGGGCGCCTGGGTGGCTCAGTGGGTTAAGCCTCTGCCTTCGGCTCCAGTCATGATCTCAGGGTCCTGGGATCGAGCCCCACATCGGGCTCTCTGCTCAGCGGGGAGCCTGCTTCCTCCTCTCTCTCTGCCTGCCTCTCTGCCTACTTGTGATCTGTCAAATAAATAAATAAAAATTAAAAAAAAACAACAACAACAACAAAAAAGAAACCTCTCTTGGGACTGTGTGTTCTGGGTCTCGGAGGTTAATACATCCCTTAGAAATGCCCACCAAAGACGATTGCGGGGGGGGGGGGGCTTCTTTTGCCTCCCGTGAATCTGTTCGAGATCATCATCTGTTCCTTTCTGATGCACAGGTGGTGCCACAAGATCTGATCAAAAGTTAGCTGTAGTTAGGTCCTTGTACACCTTTTGAGGTGCATGTGAACCCCCTGGTCTCGCTACAGTGCCCTTCAGTGTGTCCCCCTACCCTAAAATCTGTGGGGGAAGGTCTGGATCTTGCAGAGAACAACTATACAGCCACCATGGACCATCCTCCCTCCAATCCCCCACTGTAGTAAGTTACCCTGAATAAAACTCTGTGTAAACCATTAAAAAAAGAAAAATGCTCTGGGTTGAGAGAAGGAATTTTGGTGTTTAGGTTCTTTTTCAGATCTTCTTCTCTGGGTATTAGAACACAACCCACCACCTTGGAGTCTGATTGAAGCAAGAAAATGCAAAGGTTTTCCTTTCGACTCTGCTCATTATGAGCAGACACTTAAATATTCCTACTTGGAGGACCTGCACCTTTATCTCCTTAAAAATTTTGACCAAAGAGGGGCGCCTCGGTGGCTCAGTGGGTTAAAGTCTCTGCCTTCGGCTCAGGTCATGATCTCAGGGTCCTGGGATCGAGCCCCGCATCGGGCTCTCTGCTCAGCAGGGAGCCTGCTTCCCTTCCTCTCTCTCTGCCTGCCTCTCTGCCTACTTGTGATCTCTGTCAAATAAATAAAATATAAAAAAAAAAAATTTTTGACCAAAGAGATAAGGT